CAACGTCTAATGCAGAAGTAGAGAGCGCTTCATGCGGCACACCCTCTCGCTGCACACGGAGCCTGGTCCATCATTTCCCCATTTCCCATTTCCATTTCCATTTCCATAGTCAGCCATTCCGACACACCCACGGGCTCCGAATAGAAGAAGAAAATCAAATCAGCACCCCCACCGTCTCAAGTGGGTTAGGTATCTTTAGCGGACGGCAACGTCGACCTCCTGGCCCTCAAACGCCGGCAGCTCAGCCTCAATGTCCTTCCACTCCTTCGAACCCTCAACGATGCTGAGGACGGCTGCCACAATGGCATCCTCGTCAGCGCGCACCTGCTTGGTCGAGTCACGGTCACGCAGAGTGTAGGTCGAGTCCTGCACAGATTGGAAATCGATCGTGATGCCAAGAGGGGTACCGAGCTCGTCGTTGCGGCTGTAGCGCTTGCCAATGGTCGCCGAGGAATCGTCGATGCGGCTGGAGACGCCGACCTTGCGGAGCTTCTGCGAAATCTTCTGAATAAAGGGCTTGAACGCCTTGTTGGCCGACAGGGGGACGATGAGAACCTTGGTAGGCGCGACCGTCGGGGGGAAGGACAAGACCTAGAGACTGGTTAGAAAAAAAATGTTCGTGTCAACAATCGAGTGACCATTTTGCACTTACGCTGCGGGCCTCGTCGCCGCCATCGCTGCCACGGGTCCAGTAGGAGTGCTCAATGAGCGAGTAGAGGATGCGGCCGATACCGAAAGAGGGCTCGATGACGTTGGGGGTGTACTCCCTCGTGTTCTCGACCTTCTTGCGGAACTCAATCGTCACGAGATCCTTGCTGATCTCAACCTTGCCGTCCGCGACGCCAGCAACCTCGAGCTCGAGGCTGCCCTTCTCAGACAGCTGCTTAGCGAGAGCCTCACGCTGCTCCTGCGAGGTGGCCTCGAGGGCAGCCTCAACAGTCTTGCCGTCCTTCTTGAACTTGGGGCCAAACTTCTTCTTGTCGACCTCGACCTCCCAGAGCTCACGGACAATGGGCTCATCCAGACGATCCCTGACAATGAGAGGGGCACCGGTCTTCTTGGCGTGGACGGTCAAGTCGTAGGCGCTCCTGTCGGCACAGCCAACGCACTCGATCCAGCCAGACGAGGTGAGGAGCTCAGCATCCCAGCAGTCGGTGGCGTAGTGCGCCATCTCGTTCTGCATGTGCTGCCTGAAGCGAACCTTGGACATATCCACACCAATTTTCTTCAGGAAGAGAGCGATACGGGCGATGAAATAGCCGAGAGTCTCATTGTCGACCATACCAGTCCTGACGGCCTCGCCAATGGTGGCGTGCTTGATATCGGTCTTGCCGGCGAGCTGGACGTCGCGCGCGAGGAGGGCGAGCTCCACGTTCTCCACCTCGGAAAACTTGGGGTGCTTCTTGCCGCCCTCGGGGTCGACAAAGTGCTCAATCTCGGCCATGAGGAACTCGCGCACACGCAGGAGACCGGCACGGGGCGAGATCTCGTTCCTGTAGGACTTGCCGATGGACGCCGAGGCGAAGGGCATCTGCTGCTGGTTGAACTCGAGGAGCTTGGCGAAGTTCAGGAACTGGCCCTGGGCCGTCTCGGGACGCAGATAGCCGGGAAGGTTGCTGCTGGGGCCGATGGCGGTCTGGAACATGAGGTTGAAGGAGACGGGGGGCGAGGGCTGGACGCCGGTGAGGGGGTTGCGGAGGTCGAACTTCTTGATGAGCTCGCCGAGCTCCTCGCCGTTGTAGTTGTCAATCTTGGCCAGAACCTCCTCGTACTCCTGGACGACGGCATCCTCCAGCTTGATGGCCTCCGTCTTCTGCTTGCGCTTCTTCTTCTTGGTGGGGTCGTCGACCTCCTCGACCTTCTGGCCGCGGGCCTCCTTGTCACCCTTGAGGCGTGCCTCGAGAACGTCCTCGACAAAGTGGTCGGCGCGGAGAATGTCGCCGTTCTTGGGGTCCTTGCACATCCAGTCGGCAAACTTGTCGACGTGGCCGCTGGTCTTGAGGACATCGTGCGGGGTCAGGACGGTGCAGTCGACTTCGAGCATGTCCTCCTCGAGGATAAAGTGTTTCCTCCAAGCATCGATAATGTTGGCCTGCAGGGCGCAGCCGGGAGGGCCGTAGTCGAAGAGGCCACCGACGCCGCCGTAGATCTCGAAGGAGGGGGTGAAAAACATGCGACGACGTAGCAGGGCATCGAGCACGGGGCGGTCGAGGGGCTGACCCTTGAGGGTGGTGGCGGTCGAAGACATCTTGTCGTGATCTTTCTGGTTCTTGCGGGAGACCAGAACTTGTGTTCGGGTATGGTGGGCTGTGGACGAAAAGAGACGCCGCGAGCACGAAGAGGGGGAGGGGTAGAAAAAAGTGGCCTGCCGAACTTCGCAGAAGCTAGGAGCGGAACGAATTGAAGTGGTGCGTGGTGGGGTGGTGAGAAGGCGAAGGAGCTTCATTAGAGCTAGACGAATGGGGGGGTAGCAGGCTGTGGGTGAGTCATCGGCCCTGGCCACTCTTGGAGCAGTGAGGCATCTGGCTGCTGGTCGCTGGCTGTTGCTCGCTGCAGGGCAATGAAAGACAGAGGGGGTGGGTAGCTTCAATTGGGGGTTTGGACGGGACGGCTGCTGCAGGCGTGTGACTCTTTGTTTTGTGTTTGCGCGTCTACCTTACCCTGATCTGACGTGGAGCGTCACTACCCGTAACGAAAATCGCTTGTCACTTGGCCTGGGCTTTTGCTGCAAGCCCCGCGATGCCATGTCGGTAATTCCTCGGAATCTGACATGAGCATTTTCGCAGGGGGTGCTATCCCCCCCCCTTCGTCACTGGCTGTATCCTAGTCAAGGTCTGAAAAAGGACCCTCCCCGCTAATGCGAAGCATGTTGGAGAGCCCCGCTAAAATTTCTCTGGCCCAGCCTACGATTTTCTTCAAGGGCCTGAAGAAAGACTTCGCTGCGTGTACGAATCGAGTTCAGACGGCCACCGCACCTCGACAGACTGCAGGCAATCCGACACGATGGGTTCACAGAAAGCCGGCAACCGGTCCTCCGGGGCCTCGTTGTCCATGAAGACGAGCAACAAGATGAGGCGCAAGCAGATGTTCATCGAAGACAAGAAGGTCAAGGACAAGCAGCGACATGAGGAGCGACACCGCCGCAGGAAAGAGGAGGCCAAGAACCCTGAACTTCGCGAAGCCCGACTCGCCAAGAACAAGCCCCAGACCCTCGAGACGAAGCGAGTGTGGGACGATGTCGACGACGACAGTTTGGGCGCCATTGTCGACGTCGAGAAGCTCAAGAGGCGGAGACTCGAAGAGGAGGAGCGGGCTGCCAATGAGGCGATGGAGGTCGATGAGGAGGAAGACGACGAAGATGATGATAACGACAGCATGCTCGACTCGGGTGACGAGGACGATGAGGAACGGCAGGCCAAGCTAGAGGAGAAGAAGGAGAAGAAGAAGCGCGCGAAACGCGACGACAGCATGGCACCCTCGACCACCAGCACAAACCTTGACCTCACCCCCTCCTCGCTGTCGACAAAGTTCCCGACGCTCTTCACAGACATCCCGCCGCCGCCTCCCAAGATCCTCATCACGACATCCCTCAACTCGACCCTCCACCACGAGGCCGACATCTTCTGCACCCTCTTCCCCAACTCCAACTACATCCGCCGCACCCAACACCACTACGGCCACAAGTATTCTCTCCGCGAGATCAGCCGCTTCGCCGCCAATCGCGAGTACACCGCCGTCGTCATGCTGCGTGAGGACCAAAAGGTCCTCACTGGCCTGACCGTCGTCCACCTCCCCTCTGGCCCAACCTTTACCTTCTCTGTCACCAACTTTATGGAGGGCAAGAAGCTGCCCGGCCACGGCAACCCCACCAACCACTACCCGGAACTGCTGCTCAATAACTTCAAGACCCCCCTTGGCATGCTGACGGCCAAGCTCTTCCAGACACTGTAAGTCCCCACGCCCTGCTGCTGGTCATAGTCATCTGCCGGAAGAGTAGTCGTTAACATGAATGCGCCACCCCCCCTTAGTTTCCCACCACAGCCCGAGTTTGTCGGCCGCCAGGTCTTGACGGTACACAACCAGCGCGATTATCTCTTCTGGCGCCGCCACCGCTACGTCTTCCGTGACAAGCGCACGACCGAGAAGAACATCACGACCGCCGAGGGCAAGGACCTCGAGGGCGTCGAGGGCATCAGGGTTGGCCTGCAAGTGAGTATTCCTCGGAACAGTCTCCGTCAGACATTGTTTAACAAAGTGCCAGGAAGTCGGACCTCGCTTTACTCTCAAGCTGCGGAGAGTCGACAAGGGTGTCGGCCGCGCCGGCAGCGAGGGCGAGGATGCCCTGCAGTGGGAGTGGAAGGCAAGATGGAGATGACGTAAGAGGTTCAACCTGTAAATCAAATACCCCTACGAGTCTCGTATGACATACTTCAAGCTTTCGGCACCGAGAATGTACGGCAGTGTCTCGGTCATTCCAGGCCCATGATCGCGAACACGCGAAGAGCTTGTCTCAACCCGATGTCATTGCTTCTATCTGAACTAGTCTTGGTTCAACCGTTGAACTAAATATTGGATCGTGAACGCCATTTTCAGACGCCCCCCTGCAGTTCGCCTGCCCAAGAAATCAATGGTCCTCTCTAACTCCACCTGTCGGGGTATTTACAATCAACGAGTGCCTGCCAGACCACAATATGTCTCATGTGGCACTCAGATGGACACGACACTAGCTTTTGGCTTTATGTTCGAGCATCACCGCAGAATACCTGTATCATGTTGAGACTCAAACGTACTAGGAGCTAGGCGCGGAGGTTCACTTACGCAAGAATGCCTCCAATGGCAATGAGAACGCCGAAAATAGATTTATCGTCAACACTTCGTCCGGAGAGCATCCAGCCCAAGGCCACGATAGTGCACGTCTTGACGTGGCCCACCACTGTGCTCGAGACAGGACCAGTCTGAGCAACGATGAAGAACTGGGAGATGTTGATGAGAGAGGCACAAAGGCCAGACTGCGGGTTTCGTTAGTTCTTGAGAAGGGTCCGGGACGAGACATGTACAACGCACAATCAAGATGAGAATCCACCGCGGAAGGGCCACCTCTGACCATACCGGGAAGTTGTCCACAAATGGAATAGCGTATAGAAGTAGAAAGGCAGCAATCGGCGCCTGGTTGTGCAGCAGCTGCATGCTTGACATCTCAAGCTTGCGGTGATAGCTCGCGATCCAGACCGTGTAGAGTGAAGAGGCGAAAATGCCTGAAAAGGCGAAAACAACACCAAGCACAGACGTGCTGTTGATTGCAGCATCCGATGTAGGTCGTGTATCATAGTAAGAGACCATGCCGACGCCAAGGCACGCCGGGATCAAGGCGACCATGGCAGCACGAGGCAAGGTGGCCCGGTAGAGCACGAAATTCATAAGTGCCACAGTCGGGGTCAGAAGAATGCGGGCGAGCTGGTAGAAAGTGACCGAGGAGAAGGCGAGTGACAAGTTGGGAAGGATGACGTTCAGGCACATTGCCACAGACAAAGGGATCAATGCCTTGATCGAAGCTCGCCGGGGGACGAACAGGGCAAGAGAAGGTCGGGAGAGAAGGTGCAGTGTAAGCCAGGTGACGAAGAAGTGGAAGGCGGCAAACGTCAACTGGCAAAGTTTCAATGATGGATCTGAGAAGATGGCCTTGTTCGTGAAGACCTAACGCACTGCGTTAGTGTCATGATTAGAGAGAAAACAGCTCTGGATCTCTCACAATGCAGATAGTTGCCAAAGTGTTGATGAGCATCCATAGGAGCGCAATCCGAGAGCTGGCTGGCTGTTCCTGTGTTTTTTCAGACCTGGAGCCAAGCAGATGGTCGTCTGGCAGGCCATCATCGTCGTCGGTGTGATCGACGGAACCTCTCTGTCCTTCCTCCTCGTCTCCATACAAGGAGGCCGATTTGGTCAGGCCTTCACGTTCATCTATTGTGCCTGTTTCGGTGGCTGACGAGCCAAATGATGGCGCTCGATCCATGGCGACGGCTTGCGTTGACATGGCGAAAGAATGACTGAGCCTTAGTTATAGCAGCAGAGGTCGCTGACGTGGAGGCTTCGAGAGCAATTATTTGGCCTTCCAAGTTTGATGATGTAGAAACGCGCGCGTCTTGGTACGAGCCGTTGGTGGCTAAGAGCCGTCTTGGTCGTACCTGGTGTAAGGGCGCGTCCCAGAGGCCGGATACTGGATGGAATGCGGGACAGACTAGAAGGGAGGAGAGATGGTCAGGGCTGTCAACGTGCGGGCTAGCCACTAGATAGCCACCGGAATGACTCCTCGGCTTTGAAATCAGCAGGAGAGACAACGTTCGAGACTCGCACTTTGAGACGAATTAGGCTCTTTCACGTCTCGTACGACGCAATGTGTTCTAACTGCTGCGGTCTAAAGGTGAAGATCTATCTAAGCACCTTGGGTAGGTACCTAGGTACCTAGCCAAGCTTTGGCTACTGACTGCGCTAGGACGACTCAAACGCGATAACAAGGGCATGGGCAGACCAACCAGAGGTAGGGGAGGCAGGGGTGCCTTCCAAAAGAAACCAAAATTTGGCTGCTCCTACCAGACTTGAGAAGGCTTGTCTGGTAGGTGGTTTCGATTCGGGTGGCAGGAGCTACCTAGGAAGCGGCGTCCGAGCCCGGGGGCGGTCCTTGGTGCTCTGAAACAGTGCATCGCGACGAAACCAATCTAACAAGCCCGTTGTCCGTGATTGACCCGAAGGAGCCGCATATACATTGACTTATTCTGTTCGAGCCGCCGACATGCTAAAATTCGCGGTCCGATCATCACCCTGGACTTCTCTGCACCGTTGGGCGACGGTTCAAGCGGCGGTCCTTCTCCCAAGCCCAGTGGCTGGACGCCGAACCCTTGATGAACGAGAAATTGCTCTCAAGGGATGACGACCTTCAAAGGAAGATGTGCGGAGCCATCCACGCGCCATTATGTGCCTCGCCTACAAGTACTACCTATCTACCTATGGTAAGGTTCATCCGTCAGACGACGTTTGCTGTAAAGTTCAGACGGAACACTCCGATACAGACCTCATACATTTCACGCAATGGCATCGAAACCGCAGCAAACACCTAGCATCTGAACGAGCGACAATTCATTGGGGGGCGGAGGATGCCATCTGCCCGGAGAGTTTTATGATAGTGTTCACTACTGATCATGGTTGCATTCCATGAACCTTCCAAAGCGAAACGCGTCACCCTAGCACTGGCCAGGTAACAACGGCTGGCAAAAAAGTGTCATGTGGCCATTTTTGTCTTTTGTGCTTGCAAAACACACAAACAGGACGCTGAATATGCCATGTCTCAACATGCAGTTTTGCAGGCGTGTTCCTCGCCGAGAGTGTCAGGTCTTTTGAGCTGGGCGTCTAGCACCATGTTCTCTCTGGGCCACCGCTTGGTGTGTGTCCGTCACTTCAAAGCCAGTCGCAGGTTAACTTTACGATCTAGGGGTTGCGACCCCCACCTGCTTCGTTAGCGCCGCACTTGCGTGACCGCCCCTGATCCCCATTCCCCAGACATTCAAGGAAACTTTTCTAGCCTTGTCAAGATTATTAAATGTACAAGGCCATGCGAGGGGCACATTGTGCCTGGCGTGGATGACCACGACGTGTCAAAGAATGACCAGGGCTTCACTGAACTTACTGACGACAGTCTTCAGAGGCTCCCATGGTATTTGAGGGGAAGGAGAAGCCAAGACACCTCGTCTGCACCTGCCAGGTCGCGCCCACCATCCTCGATACACCATCTTTCAACACGTCGATTCACTATCATCAAAGCGATAATAGAGACGCTCTGACCAGCTACGTGAAGTCAGCCAAGACATTGCCCGCCAGCACGCGCAACCTCCCTTGCTTCACCTTCACCTGCCTGCAACAGGCCATCTGGACGTGCGTGCTCCGTGCGAGGCGTAGCTTGTTTCCCGGGACGAAACGCCAACATCTGTACGACTCATTCGGTATGCTCGTCTATTGATAGACTACCAAGAAGACAAAAATTTCCTCTGCCCCGTCGAGGAATAGGTGAGTGAGCAGGACTACCCCGCTGGGCGTAACGCACGACCATGGTGATCGTAGGCGGGGGTCAGACCCTGATCTTCCTCATAATACGTACTAAGGCAAAAACCAACAACAGTAGGACGCCAGCAACACCTTCTTCATCGGCCCCAGCCCTGCGATTGAGTCTGAAGGATTTCACGAGCTACAACATCAGTGCCTCTCTTCTCATCCGCTTGTGTTTCCGCCCCATTCGCGCAACACTCCGCGCCACTGCCCCTCTTGATCCTGATATCAATACGCGATAACGTGAAGTATCCTGGCTCGCGTGATCACCCTAAACATCCTCGTAATGACACAACTCAAATCCAACGGCGCATTAGGTGAGTCGCTCAGTACGCATCGTAGGATGCTTCACTTACTGACGCGTGACGCCCTGTCAGCCTACAGCCACAGCCATCGCAAATTCTTTGAGGATGGGGGCATCTGGAAGGAAGCGCCGCTGCTCACAGGTAGCACCAAGTATGAGCCTCTTGATGATGTCAAGAACATCATGATCACCGGCGGCGCTGGGTTCATGTGAGTGCTGTCCTTAGATCCAGACCCAGCCACCGGGCCGGTGTCGCGCCATGCTAACACTCTCAGCGCTTGTTGGTTTGTGCGACACTTGACACTGACCTACCCTGACGCCTACAACATCATCTCCTTTGACAAGCTCGATTACTGCTCGTCGCTCAACAATACGAGGGCCCTGAATGAAAGGAGCAACTTCACCTTCGTCCAGGGCGACGTGACAAATCCGAACGAGGTCCTCAACTGCCTGAAGCGGTACAATATTGACACCGTTTTCCACTTCGCCGCACAATCCCATGTCGATCTCAGCTTTGGCAACTCCTATGGGTTCACGCACACGAATGTCTACGGCACCCATGTATTGCTCGAAAGCGCCAAAAGTGTTGGTATCCACAAGTTTATTCACGTCTCTACCGACGAGGTGTACGGAGAAGTCAAGGACGATGACGACGATTTGCTCGAGTCGAGCATCTTGGCCCCGACGAACCCATATGCTGCAAGCAAAGCCGCTGCCGAGATGCTGGTACAGTCGTATCAGAAGAGTTTCAAGTTGCCAGTCATTATTGTTCGCAGTAACAACGTTTATGGCCCACACCAATTCCCAGAGAGTACGTTGGACAACGCTGGAAATTTACTTACCAGTGTCCTGCTAACTTGGCAGAAATTATCCCCAAATTCACGTGTCTTCTGAACCGTGGCCAGCCGGTTGTCCTCCACGGAGATGGAACCCCGACGCGCCGGTACCTGTTTGCTGGCGATGCCGCCGACGCTTTCGACACGATTCTGCACAAAGGCCACATGGGCCAGATCTATAATGTTGGATCCTACGATGAGATCTCCAATCTCGACTTGTGCAGTAAGCTGCTACGTGAGATGGACATTTCACAAGGGGGACCGGAAGACTTTAAGAAGTGGGTCAAGTACACGCATGATAGACCGTTCAACGACCACAGATATGCCGTGGACGGCACCAAGTTGCGCCAACTTGGGTGGGAACAGAAAACAAGTTTCGAAGAAGGATTGAAGATCACCGTCGACTGGTACCGGCGATTCGGAGAGGAATGGTGGGGCGACATCAGCCAGATTCTGACCCCTTTCCCCATCGTTGCCGGGCTTGAGGTGGTACCGGATAAAGGGGTAGTCACCGACGTGCCGCAGCAGGCTCGAGAGGAAGGGAGCAAGAAAAGAAAGGTCGACGGCTGAGGGGGGCGGAGTATGCCGTAGCTGTGTAGACGAGACGAAACTTTCACCATGCTTCAACATGGATTGGTAAGGTTTCTCGTGCCATGATTTAGGGAGCGGGGCGTACCGGTATGTCGGCTTGGAGGAAAGTGGGTTGAAGCAACAAGAGATCACAAGTCAACCTGGCGCATGGAGCACCTAGCTAGACAGTAACGGAGAGGGGGGATTGGGCAGAGAGGTGTGTCGTTCTTCTTTCCACGCATCGCAGCTTATGCAATCATTAGATCGACTCAAGGCTTGGTCACAGGTACACACGGAATACAAACGCTTGAGCCCGCGGATCTGGTTCTCGTATCTGTGCATATGCGTGTAACAACCCCGAAGGGTCTCCTCCCCGTCGGCACCGCTGCACGAGTGACAATCGGCGCCGCTCTTGGCAATGCCGGCACGCATCCCCCCCCTGGCTGCCGGTCGGGGTGGGTTCATCTAACGAGACAAGAAAGGGAACCTGTACCGCGGCCTGGAAGTTTAGGGATAGGTGCCCAATGAGGGAACTGTCACCCCGTCGTCGGGCGCCGTTGGGGTTTTGTGGGCGCCCACCAGGGGCCAAGTGGGATCTACCTCGTGGTACGAAGGACAAGTTTAGCGGGTGCAAGAACGTGGAGCGAGCATGGCAGCGTTGCCCGCTTGCACATCATGGAACAGAGCTACGCCCCATTGTCATACGCACACTACTTGTGCTGGCGAGGGCCCTCCCCCCCTCCCCTCTCTCACTCCTTACCAAGGCCGGTTGCAGGCTGGGCTGCAGTGGCGCCCGTTGTGATGGCGGGATGGATGGGTGGCCCGCGGGGGGCTGTCTATCCGGTGGATCGTTGCCACAGAGGGCCTGGGCTGACCTGGCATGCGCTCTGTTGGGTTGTTTGCGGGAGTAGAGAGGGGGCGAGGAGTGTGAGGCGGGGGGTGGCGGCCACCAAGAGTCGGGGAAAGCGGGTAGACGGACGGCGGGGACGAGGAGGTGCCTGTGCAGGGGAATGCAATGCAGTGCGTTGCTGGGATGGGCACATACAGGCACAAGGAGATCAAGGCACCGCCAGACAAGGTCGGTTTGTGTGGTTGCATACCCACTCGAGTCAGTTGCAGCATCATAGATGTGCTCCCGTTGATCCTGGGTACCTGTTTCCTGACGTGGTAGGCATTCGGAGGCGGCGTAGAGGGCGACTGGATGGTCGGCGTTAACCCCCTTGACAGGCCTAGGGGTCATCGAATGTGGATCAACGGAGACAAGGTCGGGTTGTATGCGAAGCGGGTTGCCGTGCCTCTGTGCCTGGCTGGGCCGACGACTGACAACTGCAAAGTGGCCGAGAGGTGCTGAGAAAGACAGCTGTCAGCCTTTGGCGAAGGCTTGTCGTCGGGGTTAAGCCCTGGTGCATGTACGTACAGCACAACAGGTAGGGTACTGCAACTCAGGCACCGACCGGGGGGGCAGTCGAACAGGGCCTGAACGACCGGGATCGGGGGTAACCTCGAGAGAACCGATGCGCCATTTGGGTCAGAGATTGCAGGTGATTGTTTGGTGGGTGATCATTGGCCTGGACTACGCAACCGGCTTGACAAGAAGGCCAAGAATCCGGCTTTGGTTGATATGCCTTGGGAAGCAGCGGGCGGAGCGAACGCCGTTGTACCGTGCCTGTCGAAGCAGCTTCCATCTGCCGTTGCCACTCCGTCGAAGGCCGGGTCCAAGGAGAATATGCCGGGAAGGCCAGCCGGATGAACATCGACATTCAGAAGGGATTGTCGTGCTCCGAGCTTGCCGGAACCGACTGTAACATGGACAATTAGTGTCAAAGTACAGATACCAGTAAAAAAAAGTCCGCTGTCACATCGCAATTGGATTCGACAACCCACAAAGTTGGAGGCTGCTCGGGCGGCCCCTTGTTCCCTGTAATGGACCAGGAAAAGCAAGCCACGGACAGTCAGGGCCACCGTTCCTCCGCATGCATCCTACATGTATAACTTTGTGGTAATCAGTCGGGGCAGGACAGGGGGTGTCCATCCCCGTGGAACAGTGACAGAAAGCGCCAGTAGTATGCTGTCAGAAGCTTTTTGATCAACCATTGCACAGGAGGCGTGCGACATGGATGGAACCTGTGTGGCTGGGCGCAGTAATACTGATGGTATTTGATGTATTGTGAAAAAGGGTTATGTGGTGACGGTGCGGATGGGGCCCCGTTTCGACCGTTCCAGTTGTGACTCGCTGCTATGTTCAAAGAGATCGGAGTAGATTGAGATGGATGGACGTCTGCCTCTGCTCTGGTACCTGTGTAGGTACAAGATGTGGGAACAGACATTCAGAAAGATGGTGTGGTAGAGAAAGAGCTTGATCCATGCTTAGGTGGAAAAGGACCAGGCCTAAAAGGGGTGTGATGCCAAGCTGGGCGCTACGCTGGTGCCCAGGCCCAGCGCCGGAGCATGCTTCCTCATCAGTGCTAATGGGCCCCCGCGATGGCTGTCCTTCACTGGGGACGTCAACTGCCAAACGAACCGCAACCCTGAACATCCTGGCGCTCCGGGGCCCTCAAGCCTGGCCCCGATCCTCTTCTAAAGCCCCCATGCGCCCCCGACTCGAGCAGGTACGGTTCTCCAGCTTTGCCGCACGGTTCACCCTGGACCTCGACCCACGACGAGGACTCAATGAGACAGGACGGCCAGAAAATCATCAGCCCACCATTCTTGCCATTTCCCCCATCACCAACCAACATCCCTCGAAAGGCGCTGCCGCTGCCGCTCCCGCATCCTCCGCCTTCGCCGCCGCCGTATCTGTCTCGAACCGTGGCCCCGACTGTCATGTCGCTCTTGGCGATCTCGGAGCCATCCTCACTATCGCCGTAGCTTCACAGCGACAGCCGGCCGCAGTGCCCTCTCGATGGCCAGAAATCGCCGCTCCAAGAAACGTTCAGGGACCTGCCCCAGATCGCGCGCTCACCACAACCAGTCGCTTGACGGAATCGGCACGGGCACTATGTCTACGCTGTCCACCGAAGGCAAGTCGAGCGACGGAGGACTTTCTAGCGACAGACTGGACAGCGAAGGCGGCACCTACACCGAGATGACCAGCGTCACGGGCTCAGAGGAGCTCAACAGCGCCGTTGGGGCCCTCGCCGCCGACAACGACGCCGATGCGGACATGAGCGACGACCACTCGACCTCTGCCCCCAACGATAGCGAACACCCAGCTCTGGTGGATGCGCATGATCCCGATGAGCCATTGCCCACCGAGCGCGACATGGAAATGTTGGTATTCCCTTCCTTACATCCCCCGCATCGCGTGCGACCGGCCCGCATATTCCACGTGGCCCAGAGACTGACAAGACGGCATCGTCGCACAGGGCGTCAACACGATCTATCACAGAGCAAGACTTGGACTATCGGTGGGAACACGGTCGACGGTACTGTGGCCCGCACTACCATATGCCCAATGACGAGTACGAACAATGCCGAATGAGCTTGATCCACCGTATCTACTTTGACATTTTCGACGGCGAACTCTCATCGGTTGCGCTTCACGATCCCGACAGGATATTAGACATTGGTACCGGCATTGGCGAATGGGCAATTGCTGTGTCAGACGCCTTCCCTGATTGCGAGGTAATTGGGACCGACATATCCGCTATACAGCCAACGTCTGTACCGGCGAATTGCTTCTTCGAAATTGACGATGCCGAGCTCGAGTGGACGAGAGAGCCGGATTCTTTTGATCTGGTTCATTTTCGAGACATGCTGGGCGCCTTTGAAGATTGGAACTTCATCTACCAGGAGGCATTCACGGTGATCAAGCCCGGCGGCTGGATAGAGCTGATGGACATCGATGACTCTAGTAGCGCTCTGAAAGCGTTCCTCTCATCTTTTCCCGAAGAATCGGATATTCACCGTCTCGCGAGGGATCTCACTCTTTCCACCGCAAAGAGCGGCCGGCCGCGAGGGTTGCAACACCTCAGCCCTTCGCTGTTACACAGGGCGGGCTTTGTAGACATTAAGATGACGGAACACGTCATCCCCATCAATATTGAGGCTGGCGGCGGCAAGCTGTGGCTCATCTCCTGCATCGATGGACTGGAAGCTTCAACACTACGATCTCTGACACAGCACATGGGATGGGAAGCGGACGAGGTCAAGGAGGCATGCTTGAACGTCGCCCGCGAAATGACACGCTTCGCAAGAGATCCGATCAAAGCGAAAGGCCTCAATGTGAAGATTCGGTCAGTCGTCGGGAGGAAGCCGACGGCAACGATACCACAGGAAGAACAGGGGCGAGGCGAGGAGCTGGAGTTCGTGCCTCAAGTCGTCACGCATGATATGAGACTGGATTAGTCAGTATCGGCTTTTCGGCGATGGAGTGGATGGATCTAGAAGGGAAGGAGGCCCTCTTCTGAGTCCCTAACTTTTGCCAGTTGTCTCCGAGGATGTGGGCGGATAGGATGATACCCAGGGACTCTGTTTGGATGAACGTCCATGCTGGCAGGGGTACTGAAGCGCTTCACCTTTGGCGTATCAGTGGCGGATGGCTTTTTGCGTGTGTTTCAGCAAACATTCAGGCGTTGTTGTTGTTGTACCTTCTTCTGTCACCGTAGGGATGCTTCTCAAGCAGGCGTTGGATTGAGATGGGAGTATGGATGGAATCACCCGCCATTGGGCAATGATCAGCCAAAGTGCTGGCCCAGAATTAGGTGAACGTGGTTGTCAGTTACGATCTACCATGTTAGAGGTGGAAATACAGCCAGGGTTCGTGATTACAACCCTGCATTCCCTGCATTCCTGTGTGACCGCTCATGCAGGTTGTTTTTGCATCCGCAGGTCATGTTGATCACGTCGAGATTGTGGCTAGGTAGATACACTCACTCTTCTATTCAGCGGTCCTCCAGTGCGGGCGCTCGCTCAGCACCGAAGGACCTCCACAGGCTAAAAGTGGAGACCTGAGCTCGACGCATCCTCAACCAACGACATCATCCCTCCAGCCACCTCAGGCGAAGCTCACCCAGAGCTCGCTGCCTTGTCAACAACGACATCCCCGCCAGTCTCGATCCTCGGCAACGACACCACACAGCTCAGTTGGCTCCTGGGACGACGGGCGAACGAAGAGATTCAATCCACCGATTTTACAACAAGCGAAACGACAGTGCATGGCAACACCAGCTCGATAAAACAGCCACCATGGCACTCACCACCTCCGATGGCCTCGGTGCCGTCCTCGACACGGATGAACTGCCCATGTTCGTCGTCGAGCGAGTGCAGCTGCAATTCTCCGTCGCCGCCGATTTTGTAGCGGCCCAGGTGGCGAACAACGTCCTCGTCCTCGCCCTGTCGAATGGGCGCATCCTGCGCATCGATCTCAACAAGCCAGAAGACATTGATGGTTTGTCTGCCATCGTGTCTCGACGTATCAGCGGGCAAGGCTAACACAGTGATAGACATTGACCTCCCGAAGAAGACCTCCGAAGTAGGCGTCATCCGCCGCATGTTCCTCGACCCCACGGCATCGCATCTTCTTATTTGCACGGCACTCGGCGAAAACTACTACCTGCACTCGCAGCACAAGAATCCCCGACCGCTGGCTAGGTTGCGAGGCGTCTCGATAGAGAGTGTCGCATGGAATCCCTCACTGCCAACCGCATCGACGCGCGAAATCATTCTGGGTGCCTCGGATGGCAACATCTACGAAGCCCTCATTGAGGCGACCTCTGAGTTCTACAAGAAGGACATACGCTTGAAGAACCTCCACCGGCTGCAAGATGGCCCTATTACCGGTCTCTGGGCGGATGCGCCGCAGGGGAAATCTGACGTCCGACGGCTCATGATCGCGCAGCAGAGTAGGCTCTTCCACCTCTCTGGCAAGATTGGCAATGGGTACGACAGCCATGGTTCCGTGTACACCAAAGTTTTTGAGTCCGAGCAGCCTACAATACATGAACTGTCGCGAGCTTCCGGGGCGGCACCATCTTCGCTTGTCGTGTCCCCGGATCTGCCCGAAACGAACCCCTACGACGACGAAGAGGCCGAAAGGGCGTATGCGTGGTTGACATCGCAGGGCGTCTTCCACGGCAAGCTCTTGACAGATGCTGATGCAGAACTGGGCAAGAAGGTATTCGCCGGCTCAAAACTTCAGGCGCGAACGGACTTGATTCACGCCGAGGCATCGAAGAGGAGAGGATCACCCGAGTTCGTGGATGCCATTGCACTTACTCAATGGCACATCCTGCACTTGGTTGGTGGCCGTGTAGTAGCCACCAATCGACTGACAGGCGCCATCGTATATGACCAGATAGTTCTCGACGCCGGACAGACCGCTCTCGGGCTGTACGTGGATCTGCAGAAGAATACGTTCTGGCTCTTTACCAGCCAGGAGATTTTTGAGGTTGTTGTCACAGACGAAGACCGCAGCATCTGGCAGATCATGCTCAAAATGCAGCAGTTTGACGGTGCGCTACAACATGCGAAGACTACAACGCAGAAAGAAACAGTAGCTACAGCATACGGTGATTACTTGGTGGGCAAGGGCCACTTCCTGGAAGCGGCTGCGGTGTACGGACGCAGCAACAAGCCCTTTGAAGAGGTCGCACTATCGCTCATCGACAATGCGCAGCCTGACGCTTTGCGAAAGTATTTGCTCGCCAAGCTTGGGTCTTTGAAGAAGGCTGCCATTATGCAAAGAGTCATGATTGCAAGCTGGCTTGTGGAGGTCTTCATGGCCAAGCTGAACTCGCTTGATGATACGATCATATCACAGGCTGAACTGACCGAAAACCTCAACCCGAAACAGTCGAAGGAACAACTTCAGGACGTTGAGAAAGAGTACAAAGAATTCGTCAATAAGTACAAGCAAGACCTTGATAAACGAACAGTATACGACGTTGTCAGCTCGCATGGCCGCGAGCGGGAGCTGCTCTACTTTGCCAACGCGGTCAACGACTACAACTACGTCCTGTCCTACTGGGTCCAGCGTGAGAGGTGGCCAGAAGTCCTCAATGTGCTGAAGAAGCAGACAGATCCAGAAGTCTTCTACCGCTACAGTACTGTGCTCATGACCCATGTTGCAACAGATCTGGTGGAAATTTTAATGCGGCACTCGGACCTGAAGCCGCGAAGCCTCATCCCCGCACTCTTGGAGTACAACCGCAACTTCAAGGGGCCACTTCCCCAAAACCAGGCAGTTCGTTATTTGCAATACATCATCAACCAGGTCAAGTCGAAAGACTCAGCTGTCCACAATACCTTAGTCTCTATTCATGCGTCTCATCCTTCCTCCGATGAGGCTGGCCTGCTCGCATACCTGGAGGCTCAGGGCGACGAACCCGACTACGACCCCGACTTTGCGCTGCGCCTGTGCATCCAACACCACCGAACACTGTCGTGCGTTCACATCTACACGAGCATGGGCCAGTACCTACAGGCAGTAGATCTGGCTCTCTCCCATGATGCCATTGAGCTGGCGTCTGTCATTGCTGACCGGCCCATGTCGAATCCGCCTCTGCGCAAGCGGCTCTGGCTCGCCGTAGCCCGCAAGGTCATCACCCAGTCAGACGGCATCAAGACAGCGATCGAATTCCTTAAGAGGTGTGACCTTCTCAAGATTGAAGATCTGATCCCCTTCTTCCCAGACTTTGTCGTTATCGACGATTTCAAAGAAGAGATCTGCGCGGCGCTCGAAGACTACAGCCGGAACATTGACGGACTCAAGAAAGAGATGGACGAGTCGTCGCAGACAGCCGCCAACATCAAGGTTGACATTGCCGCCCTCGCTCAACGATACGCCATTGTCGAGCCGGGCGAGAAGTGCTACGTTTGCGGGCTTCCGCTGTTGAGCCGTCAATTCTTCGTGTTCCCGTGCCAGCACTCGTTCCACTCGGACTGCCTCGGGCGAAAGGTGCTCGAGCAAGCCGGCGTCGGGACAAGCAAGAGAATCAAGGAGCTGCAGGTGCATATCAGTAAGGGACTCGTCAGTGGCGTGAAGAGGGAGGCCATGATTATGGAGCTGGACTCGCTCGTTGCTTCGGCTTGGTACGTTTACACGACAACCCCTTCCATTAAGGTTTGCCTGACTCATCCTGTGTGCAGTATTCTATGCAGCGACTTTGCCATCAAGAGGATCGATGAACCATTTGTCACAACGAGGGACAACCTTGTCGAGTGGGTTGTGTGAGTATAAAGTCCGGGCATGGTTTGTGCTGTACATATTGCGGGACCGCTGCACGAGCGTGGGTGTCGGGGAGTACCCTGTGGGTGGAATACAATTCAGCTTTGCGATTTAACGGTGGCTTTTGAACGGTGACGTGAGTGATGGACGTGGCATTTATAATGGCGACGATATGGAGAGCTGTTCACGAACTTCAGGTTGGTATTTTTTGTTTCTCTTCATCAATATCGTACGACTGAACCCGCAACGTCATTCGCGCAGTCAAAGTGATCTGAGTGCTGTCACTACTGATTCTCCGGCCTGAGAGAGTGCGAACGCTAATCTTGTCCGCATCCATATCAAAGGCCGCATTCCGAGCATATGTCACTAAGAGGAGGGCTCTCAGATCTCGCACACCGTCACATCAACTTTCGACCTAGTGAGCATCAAAATGGCAACGATGACCCCGTACAACCCCAGCACCTCGGCAAAGATGAGAATCAGTACCATCCCAGAGTAGAGCCTGGGCTGCTGGGTGCTCGCTCTCACTGTCAAGCACATGCTTACATTAGCCGAAGCACTACTCCTGCGGGTGAAGGGGAGGGCGGGGTGGCCAGGATGAGAGGGAGGTGGAAGGGGGGAGGGGGAGGGGACGAAAACGCACCGCCCGCATCGCCGACGATGCCAATGCTGAAACCAGCCGCCATGCCGCTCAGCCCGACGGCGAGCCCGGCACCGAGCTGCAGGAAGGCCGCGAAGAGGGTCGTCTTCTCCCTGAGGTCGCCGGCAATGAGGACGGAGGCGACGAGGCCGTAGATGGCCAGGATCTGGGCCATGACGGCGCACAGCGTGTTCTGCATGAGGCGGTCGGGGCGCAGGACGCCGGAGGCGAAGATGGCGGGGGCCGACTTGGCGGTGCCGTAGGAGGCGCCGATGACGGTCAGCGTGATGGCTGAGCAGCAGCCCAGGGCGCCGAAGACGGGCTGTCATTTTTTGGGGGGGAATCGTCAGAGTGACTGCCACTAGGGATCGTGGATGGGAAGTTCGACAGAGATGGGGGTGGTGGGCTTACGGCATATGCTGGGCTGCCGGCATTTTCGGGGAAGAGGTTAGCTGGGCACGTCTTGATGTGTAGGGTGTCCTTTGACGAACCAGCGGCACATGCTTGCAACGAGATCCATGGCGGGCGAAGAGGAGAGTACGGTTTGCATGAGAATGGCCAGGTCAGGGAAGGGGCACTACGAGGCACGGCGTCCTTCAGAATCTCGGTTCATCGTCGCGAGTTATACGGAGTCCATTCCAGGCAGACATTTAGCAAATATTGTGACGGGAGGCACAGCCGTCGGGCTGATTATCTTGGTCTTCAGCCTCACGGCTTACTTTGAGCTGATGCAGGTACGCCGACCACCCAAGCCGAATGGTGCAACGGCAGAGGCATGTCGCTTCATCGCAGATCGAGAGTGCCATGCCAAGATTCGTGGCTTGCCGGCTCCCTCTCCATTTTGCTGGAAGATCATATCGACGGCCAGGCATCCAGATAAAGCAAAGGATGATTGGTGATGGTGGTCTAGGTTTGCCTGGTGTTTCGAAATGTCGTCTGACTAGCCGACGAATGGCATGACGGGCCTGGGCATTACATAAGCCCACTGAACGCACAGGGCGTTCCTGCCTCTGGTCCCTCTCCTTGTGGAACCTGCCCCATGTTTCCAGGACATCACGGCGATCATGGCCAGCACGCGCCACTCCTCAGATCCATCAGTCACCATCGCTACCATGATCATGATCCGCGGCCACGCCATCGGCCTGTCCTTTCACCGTCGTCCGAAGTCTGAAATCGGTCTGATGGAATCCCAAAGCGAAACATAACAGCCCCACCATGCTTGGACTGGGAACACTTGCGAACGAACCGGGTCTCACAGGTTGCTGCTGTATGACGCTTCAAACACGCTGCATGTTCGCCGGTCTTCATCGACATTGCGCCTTCGCCGAAGGAAAGCAGACAAAGCCACCCCACGGCATGTTAGCTTGTGTGCGACAAGCACTCTATTCGCCTTGGCCCAAGGAAACAGTACGGGGATCTGCGTTCGGGGGCGCGGAGCACCATGTTCATGGAATACCCACGACGCCCCGTCTCGCTGACGACTCCCCAGCCCTATGATCTGCTCTGCCGATTGCGTCCATGGCAATTTCGAATTGGGCTGCCTTGCCTGAATGGTTTAGGTGGCATGGCTGCGGCGGTTCCAGACCTGTCTGATGATCCACGCGAGTTGTAACAGAAGTCGCTCGGCTCCCTGACGCCCAGACGTCCTTCGTGTTTCAACCTCGCGCCAACGCCCTCTCTTTGGTCCCCTGACCCGACTCGAGCGCGCAGTGACACACCGCCGCCCTCACACTTGTCGCTGGTGACGAGCTCTTCACGGCTTTCCAAACAAGCGACTCCTCTGGGCCCCCGCAAGCATGATGACCTTGTAGCATTCACTTCTCTACTTTCCCCTCTGTGAGGCCGTCGGGGGGGGGAATCGCTTTCGGGATCCTCAGCCAAAAACACCTGGCCGTGTCACCCAACGTACCGTGCTCCCCGCCGTCTTGTTCCTTGACCCATTGTTCTATTCCAAGACGATCTGCCAGTCTCTCGGGTTTCTCGTCTCTTCATGCCCTTGACCCTGCTTGCGAAGCCATTCTTCTTTTGCTACCCTCGCATATCATCATCGGTACTCTCCGACACCAAACACTCATCATCCCTCTTCTTTTGTTCTTGACTCTGCTCACCCGTATTTCTCCTTTCGTCTATCTGTATACTCACTTTGTCTGTCCCGCCTATCTGCGCGCAGGACCGTCGCTAATACTGAGGGCTCCTCCATCTCAACAACCATACGACTCCAAGCGGACTTAATTTCTTGTCAATCTACAGCTCAAAACCCTTGCACGAGCATCGCCTTCTATTCTTCTTCCCGGCCCGGCGTCGACTTGCCTCTTGGGAGGCCCTTTCCAGTCCTTCATTCGACGAATAGAACATTGATTGCCTTTTATCCGTCAGTCAGCCCGATGGTATCGCAACACGCTTCTTGTGTTTCCTGAGTTCTGCCCCGCCCCCGGCACCGGTCTGCCAACAAAGTCGCCGGCTGTCCTTCACCTTAATTCTCTGCCATCATGAGGACAATACCAATATGGGTTCTCTCCTCCATACTACTGTCTTCGACTGGCGAGGCGGTCGCATTACGGAAGAGAGACGGCAGCCCCGCGCGGGTCATCGGTTTCGACTTGGAAAGCAAGATCATCCAGGCTCCAAACGACAAGAATGGCATGCGGCGGAGAAATACTGTTACAGCTTCATTAGACAACCTGGTACGTACGGCGTCATCGGCCAGCTAGGAACATACCACTGACCGGCACCCTCTCAGCAAACCCTGTACTTTGTCAACGCCACTCTCGGCAACCCTCCCCAGCCGTTCCGCCTGCATCTGGATACAGGCAGCAGTGACCTCTGGGTCAACACCGCCAGCTCACAGCTCTGTCAGGAGGTCCCTAATCCTTGTGCCCTATCGGGCATGTACGCTGCCAACCAGTCATCGTCATACAACTATCTCGGCAGCTATTTCAACATCTCCTACGTCGACGGGTCCGGCGCCACGGGTGACTACGTGACTGACGATTTCAACATTGGCGGCACCGTGCTCACTGATTTCCAGTTTGGTATCGGCTATGAGAGCTCAGCTGCGCAGGGCATCCTGGGTGTCGGCTATCCCATGAATGAGGTCCAGGTCGGCCGAGCAGGGATGGATCCGTATGACAACATTGCGGCCAAGATGAAAGCGCAAGGTCTTATTCAGTCCAACGCCTTCAGTCTGTACCTCAACAGCCTCAGCGCTTCAACCGGCAGCATCCTGTTCGGCGGTGTGGATACGGAGCACTTTGTTGGCGAGCTTCAGACACTCCCCATTCAGATGCATGCCGACATCCACTCCGAGTTCCTTGTGACGCTGACCGATGTGACTCTTGGTTCTACCACCATGGGCTCCGACCTGGCCATTGCCGTCCTCCTCGACTCGGGATCGTCCCTCTCGTACCTGCCGGACGCCATGGTCAAGGAGATTTACTCGATGGTCGGTGCCGTCTACCAAGAAGAGCAAGCGGTCGCTTTCGTGCCCTGCGCGCTCCGCCAGTCCCCGGCCAACATGACCTTCACCTTCTCCAAGCCGAAAATTACCGTGCCCATCAGCGAGCTTGTTCTCGACCTCTTCAAGATTACGGGCCGTCAGCCTACGTTCTCGAACGGCGCGCCCGCCTGCCTCTTCGGGCTCGCCCCAGCAGGTGCGGGCACTCATGTCCTGGGCGACACTTTTATGCGCTCCGCCTACATTGTGTATGACATGGAAAACAACGAAATCTCGCTGGCGCAGACGCGTTTCAACGCGACGAGATCCAACATTTTGGAGATTGGCACGGGCCGCAGCTCGGTGCCGTCGGCCATCACGGTTGCAGAGCCGGTGGCTGCCACGCATGGACTCCGCGGTGGAGGCGCGGCGGCCGCGCAGAGCGCGGCGTATGCATTGACACCACTGGCTGGGCCATTTCTGGCTGGCGTCATCAGTGGGATCGTTGGGTTCGTGTCATTTTTTATGTGAAGCATTGGGAGCGAAGACGGTGACTTTTATACATTTGCATCGCGACGGCGTCTTATTTTTCTCGTCACTTCAAGAAAGAAGCCTAGGTGGTTCCGTTGGGGAAGTATCGTTCTGCATATATGTATGTACAAGACGATACGAATCATAAATGAAGCGTTGGATTTTGAGATGGATCCTCTTCACAACCTGTTCCGTGATAGTCTTGAATTTTTGCCAAGGGAAGACGGTAGTTGGTCTGGCCTTTGTCCCAACCTGACCTACGTCCCACTGATAACGAGGTTGCAACCAGGGGGCGCGGGCTGTGTGCTATACGGCTTAGCAAGGTAGCTCCCATTGGCCGTTCATGCGATCCTGATGCAAGGTAGCGACGGCCGCAAGAACACCTCGTTATCTGGCCTCATGTATTTAGCCGAAATGCCGACCAAAGAGATGTGAACCAATTGACGCGCTAGCAGAGCCAAGTCTCTTCCGCCCAATTGCCCACTGTAACACGGTCGGGGGTACTTTGCCGCGTTAGCAGCAACATCGCATCACGGAAACGGCAGTCCAATCCTGCAAGCGCGAACATGAGGCTTCCCAGCTTCATCGACCCAACCTCGAAATAAGAAATTGGAGCTCCGCCCGCCATCGGCAACGACCACATCCCAACACGTCGCGTGCAGTCGCCACACGATACATATCACCGAACCTCCTTCCGATCGATCCCCGACGGGCCCTGCCGCATCGCCGCGGCGACTCGGCGCACAGCCATGGCCGCGCAACCATCAACATCCACGTCGGCGTCGACACCCACACCCTCGGCCACACCTGTCGGCGCGACAGCCTCTTCCTCATCAGCAGCCGCCTCAGCCAACGGCAACGATGACGCGTCTCAAGCTGATGCCCAGGCCAAGCCCGCGCCTGCCGTTCTCGTGCGCGACAAGGAATCCTTCCAGAAACTCATGGTCGAACGCTATGTGACGCGCGACTGGGAAAACCAGGCCGCCCAGGGCATCGCCATGCGGTACAACGCCGACAGCTTCCAGCGCTACAACGACAAAATCGCTGAGTACAAGATTATACGCGAGTCCCACCGCCAGTATTTTCCGCCCGCCCGGCTCTATGGCGAGGGCTACGCCGGTTGGGGCAACGGCCACACAGAGATCGACCCACGGGTCAAGACGGCGTTCCCAACCCAAATTCTCTACCCAGCTTTCAAGCCGCGACTTGGAAAGAGGCGATCGCCGCCGTTGACGTGGAAGAAAAAGGACATCAAGAAGCAGGCGGAGCAGCACGAAGAGCTGGTGCCTGTGCGCATCGACGTCGATACGGACAAGCTGAAGCTGCGCGATACTTTCACGTGGAACCTCCACGACCGGATCGTGCACCTGGACACATTTGCGCAGACGCTCATCGAAGATATAGGTTTGGAGATGGGCCCGGCGAATAAGCACGTCCACGACGCCATTGTGCACCAGATGCACGACCAGCTGATGGACTTTTACCCCTTTGCCTTTTCCGAAGAGGATGCCCTCGATCCCGAGCTCCCCTACTCAGCGTACAAGAACGACGAGATGAGGATACTGATCAAGCTGAACATCACGATCGGTCAGCATACCTTGGTCGACCAGTTCGAGTGGGAGATCAACAACCCTCTGAACTCGCCTGAAGAGTTTGCCGCCACGATGGCTCGCGATCTGTCCCTCTCCGGCGAATTCACGACCGCCATCGCGCACTGCATTCGAGAGCAAACCCAGCTCTTCACGCGCAGCCTTTACGGCGTCGGCCATCCCTTTGATGGGCGCCCTGTGGAAGATCCCGACCTCATCAACGCTTTCCTGCCATCGCCACTACCCGCCGTCTTCCGACCACAGCAACAAGCAAAGGAGTACGCGCCATACCTCTATGAGCTGAACGACATTGATATAGAACGCAACGAGCTTGTCTTCTCCAGAGAGCAGAGGCGACAGAAGAGGTCCATCAACAGGCGAGGCGGACCTCAGCTCCCCGATCTCAAGGACCGTCAACGAACAATCCGCACGCTCATCGTCTCGTCTGTGTTACCCGGCGCTGCTGCTAGCCTCGACGAGACAACGCTGTACAAGAGGGTCGCAGGAGCCCCCGGCACACGCAAGAGGCCAGGCGCCCGCGATGGCGATCTCTCCGAATCCGACTCGAGCGACGACTCAGGACCCGACTCGCCCGCCATCTCACAGCTTGGCGGCGGCACGGCGAGGACGAGGGGCCTACGCGGGGCCGCAACAGCCGCCCAGCAACGCATGGCGAACCTGGGGCGCTCCGAGACCCCTGAGGCGAGCGTCATCCACCATCACGAGACGCGCAGGAATGCCGGCCGCTACGGCCGTGATCTGCGCGACGACACGGAGGAGCCAACGACCATGATCATCACGCTCAAAATCAACAAGGATAAGCTCAGGAGATTCCTGCAGAACCCGAAAGCACGAATCACCCCAAGCGGGTCGCAAACGCCAGGAACGCCGAGCATCAACAGGGCACCGAGCTCCATGCCGCCACCTTCGACCCCGGCTTCCAACAACCAGATGTTGCCCAAGGCTGGCACGCCGGCTGCTCCGCAAGCGCTGCTCGGCGGCGTGTCTGCACCGAACCCGGTCGAGGGGCAACCCCCTCCGCCACCGGTAAGAGACCTGGCGCGGCCCTGAAAGATGTACCCTCCAATGCTGACTGTCGCTATAGCCGCCCCCGCCCGAATGGCTCTCCCGAGGCCTCCAGGAACTCCGCGAGACGTATCCCCACGACCAGTTCGAAGGCATCATGCGCCACTCCTGCATCAACCCTGAGACCGAATTGCCCGTGGTCATCCCCGCTGGCCAGCCGACACCTCCCGGGCACCGCTGGATGTTCCTCCCGCGTATCCGCTGCACGGACTGTCCTGGCAAGTCGTACACGCCGGGGCCGGACATGACGACGGGCAACTTTGAGCGGCACCTGGGGGCTGGGCAACCATCGCAAGAACGTGGATAAACGGTGCGGGTTCGATACGCGACCGAAACTCAAGGTCGAGGCGCCGGGGGTCTAGGTGAACCACCTGTCGCAAGAGACGTTGGATTTCCTGGCGACTTTTTCTCCTGGCCCGGAGATGGGCTACGACGACAGCACAGGAATGCTGTGAATGCCTCCCCGTATCTCGTCTACGGTTAGACAGGCCAGGACGGGAGAATGGGGGGCGTGCAGATGCATTCTCTTGGATTTTACACCCCTACGCTTACTGGAATGATGGAGAGATGCGGTCTGCGCAGTCCTTCAACCAGACAAGCCAACGCTGGGAATTATACTGGATTCAGGTTCAGTTCGTTCAACGCCTGTCCGCCTCGAACAGCATCTGGACACAGCTGGAGGAGCCAACCGATCCGTTCGAGCCCAAGCGACCTGACAGCTGATGCATCATGCTGTCCTCTTCCACGCTTATCGACAATCTCCGTATGCCAGTACAGGCTCGCGCCACCGGCCAAGGTACTCTGTTTCTCTCCCAACCGAAAAAACACATCAGGCCACTCTGTATAGTACGACCCTGGGAAGTAGAAGGCACAGTGTACCCTTCCATTCTTAATCCCTGTAGACAAAGCTGTTTGCGAGCAGCGGGCTGGGCGGGTTCCTCATCATTTTGCACCCTTGTTTGTTGTACTCTCTCGCCCCATTTTTGCTCCCTCATCATTGAATGTCGTTGTGTCGGTTTTTTCTTTTCATCATTTTTTTCTCCCTTTGGCTTTCATTATGGCAGGCGCTTGGTATGGGTTGGGAGAAAGATGGAAGACGGCTGCGCGGTTGATGGGAGCTATCAGGAACTCGGAGCTGACAGATCTGGCGGTGGAAGGCCAGGAGGAGAAGGAGGGTGAAGAACAGGGTTGCAAAGACAAGTGACGTTCTGTGGGTGGGGGAGGGGGGTTTTGCTGCTAGGGGTAGAGAAGGGAAATACCACAGGGCTGAGGCCTGTTACTGTCAGTTGTTGCTGTGTTTTCCTGGGCCCCTTGTTGTCGTGATGGTGTGGATCTGTCATTCAGGGGCTGATGGCGAGGCTCGCGAGCAACGATGCTGCCTCTGGGATTGCCGCTTCCATGCAGTTGCTGGTCGACGGCGATTGAGAGAGGAAGCACGCCTGCACCAACACCCATGAGCTTGGCTGCGAGGGCGGACTTGTCTGTATGGTTCCTGTTATTGACATGAAGCTTGAGAGAGTGCAAGAGGCAGTGGTTTGTTTCATAGGCTTGTATGGGGACATGGAGATGGAACCTGCATGTTCACCCCTTGGGCTCAGCCACCTTTGCATACTGACATGTTTCGTTTGTCGGCTTGCAGGCAACAGTATATCAAGGCATTCCACCAACATGGATATAGAACTGATGACGTGGCTGTTCCGTCAGCTCTTTCGAACGGTATCTTGGTTCCTGATGCTTCTTCCACGACGATCTTCCTACTTCGACCCCTATCCTAGTGTGTGAGGCTCATGGCCGACAGCTGTGGCAGTGTAGGGGACTCCGAAGGCGAACCTTAGACATGTGTGATCTGTCCAAGAGCGACTTGGCGCCTCTTTTCCCGTCTTCCAGAAATAGAAAGGCAAGTGTCCGACAGACATCACTTCCCTATGATTTTCGGTACGAACGTTCCACGCTGTAGCTTACGTAACGACACATGAGGTGATTGATGCCAACCTACTCATGCTCGGCTTTCGTTGACCGCAAGTGAAGCTGGTGTGAACAAAGACAGCAAGGGATTCCCGCCTCCCGACGTGGTTTCAAAATTTCCTGCCTCATCTCTTTAAATTGTCAGGCGACGCGAACGACCCGCGTATCTTGCCCTTTCCTACAGCACATGTGCCTCCATTGTGATTCTTGGATATCTCTCTCTCTTCGCTCTACCACGGTCAGCTCGCCATCATGCCGCAACCCCGGGAACCAGACGCCAACGCGATCTCTGCCACACAGCACAAACTATACTTTGCCTACGGCTCGAATCTGAGCACGACACAGATGAAGAGCCGCTGCCCCGCCTCGACGCCCGTCGGCCTCGCCTTCCTCCCCGCTCCATGGGAGTGGCTCATCAACGAGCGCGGCTACGCCAACGTTGTCTATCGCCGGTCAGACAACAAGGATACCACTGGCACGAGCAGGAGCACGGCCACGGGAACCGGCGTCTACGGCGTGCTCTACCGCCTGCCGCCTGCTGACGAAGAGCTGCTGGATGGGTACGAGGGCGTGCCGATCGCGTATGAAAAGGTGACGCTGCCCGTCGTCGTCTTCGCGCCTGGGGAGCAGCAGGGGCCCGGCGGAGGGCACGAAGCGGAGGCGCTGGTGTACGTGAATTTTCACCGTGTTGGCAAGGGGGAGTCCTTGGATGAGTATGTTGGCAGGATGAATCGCGGGATCAGCGAGGCGACGGAGGCGTTTGGGTTGCCGGGTTGGTACGTTGACAAGGTCATGAGGCCGTTCATTCCCCTTGATGAACCGACAGCCGTTTCATGATGGAACGGGCTCTGATCTATTGTTACTGATGGAAGAAAGACGCCCGCGGTGGTGTGTGATGTCGTTGCTGCCTGCCGTTTGTCTGATGATGGATTAGCTGGCCCTTGAAATAATGACCGATGAAAATGAACTCCGTCTGGAGCAATGACGGTCTAGTCTATAGCAATCACCTCGTGACGCAGCAGGACGCAACGAGGAAGAGGACCATGTTAGTTGGAGGAGATGCTCCAAGCCTTCCCCCACGCAGAAAGCGGAACCATCAAGAACAACACGGAAAGGGTTTCTATGGAAGGCTCACTGCCAATGATGCACTGAACGGCCCAAGATCTCTCGGCGAAAGGCCAATGGAAGCTTGTAAAGACGACGATGGCTCTCGGCAATCATTTGGATGCCCGATGCCCTGACGTGATACCTAGCTCCAGCTACCTCTCAGCCCAGAGGGAAGCTCACCCTCCCAAGTCACGAGAGCTCGGCAGCAAGTATCACTCACGCTTCAACAGGGCGGGAGACTACATCCCCAGAGGCAAAGTGACACGAGCGAAGAGGGGCAGGCCGAGCGGCTTGGGCGCTTCCCAGGCCAGGCAGGCTCTGTGCCCCGCACCGAAAAACCCATCGATGCCACTCGCGCTCACACTTGGCCCCAGAACAGGCGAAAATACAGCAAACACCCTAAATACTACCCCTCCTTCTGTACCTCGTGCGACACACTCCCTCCTCCCCCCACTCACCACAACTTTCCTCGACCGAGCCTTCGATCGAGTCTTCCCGGCTACAGCATCCCCCCCTCCCTTTCCCATCAAGTAGTGTTTTGCCATCGAGAAATCAGTCACCATGGCGGAAAAGCAGGAGGCCGTTGGTGAGTAGCTCTCTCTTGTCCCTAGTGCCCATGACCGATGCTCCTCGGGTGGGTGCGTCACGTCACCTCGAGCTGCACCTGGTCGCCGTACCCCGCCATCCAACAACAGCTCTCGAGACGGCACCACGCGACGCTGACCCCTCTGGCCCCGCGCGACGTGCCGAATGCCTTTGATATCGCGCTGACACAGCTTGCAGACTACACGCTCAACAACCCTGACACCCTCACCAAGTACAAGACGGCTGCCCAGATCTCCGAGAAGGTTCTCGCCGAGGTCACCAAGCTGATCGTGCCCGGCGCCAAGATCGTTGAGATCTGCCAGAAGGGTGATGCCCTCATTGAGGAGGAGCTCGCCAAGGTCTACCGTGGCAAGAAGGTCACCAAGGGTAGGCCTGCCGTCCCCTGCCGTCCCGTCCAGAGAGAGCGCCGTGCTAACCTTCTGTCTCAGGTTTCTCCCACCCCACGACCGTCTCGCCCTCTTCCTTCGTCACCCCTTACACGCCCCTGACCACCGACGAGTCTGAGGCTGCCGTCGAGATCAAGGCCGATGAGCCCATCAAGATCCAGCTCGGTGCCCAGATCGATGGCTTCGGCTCCATCGTTTGCGACACCGTCATCGCCGGCGCCGAGGGTGAGGTCACTGGCCGCAACGCCGACCTGGTCCTTGCCACGTACTACGCCAACGAGCTTCTCCTCCGCCTCATGATCCCCCCTGGCACCCTCGGCTCCGACGACGAGAAGGCCAAGGCCGCCTCGACCAAGGCGCCTACCCAGACCAAGATCACCAGCCTGCTCGAGAAGGTCGTCAAGAGCTACGACTGCAGCCTGGTCGAGTCCACGACCTCGTGGCTGTTCGACCGCAACGAGATCGAGGGCACCAAGAAGATCGTCCTCGCGCCCGGCGAGGGCTCCAAGGGCGAGGGCGTCCCCGAGCTCGGCGAGGTCTGGGGTGTTTGAGACGGGTGTCTCTCTGGGCTCCGGCAAGGTCAAGCAGTACGAGAACCGCACCACTCTGCACCGCCGCACCCTCCAGACCTACGGCCTCAAGCGCCCCACGTCGCGCAAGATCCTCTCCGAGGTTGTCAAGAAGTTCGGCGTCTTTCCCCTTCACTTGCGCCAGCTTGAGGACGAGCGTGATGCCAAAACTGGTGTCGTCGAGTGCGTCCGCAGCAACGTCTTCCGCCAGTACGAGGTCGTTGGTGACAAGGACAACTCGCCTGTTGGCCGTCTCCTGACCACCATTGGTATGTGAAGTCACCTGGTTTCGGTTCTCCAGGAGGCCGTTATAAAAAGAAAAAAACAATCATGGATTCATGTACTGACGATTTACAGCCATCACCAAGAACGGCATCACCAAGCTTGGTGCCGCGCCTGCGCTTGACCTGAGCAAGTACAAGACGGATAAGAAGATTGAGGATGAGGAGATTCTCAAGATCCTCGAGCAGCCCATCGCCAGAAATACCGGCAAGAAGAAGAACAACAAGAAGAAGAAGAAGCCCGCCAAGAAGGCCGCCGCCGCTGCCGCCGAGGAGAGCTCGGAGGAGGAGAGCGACGACGAGTAAGCTGGTGGCGGACGTTGTGGAGCAGCGATGGATGAATGCCTCGTCGAAGGGCCTGCGAAGCCGATGGGGCTTGCGCAGGACCCACAAACTTGTTTTCGCGAAGAGGTAGACCTGCTGCCCCTGCTTGGGCTGCCCTGGCCTGGCTCACGATGTGGGACGACACGGGTTGGTACGAAAAATGCTGGATCGTGTTGATGGCCCGCGTGGGCGCACTTCGGGATACATACCGATGCACGCGCAGTGTAGGGCTGCTGCATCATCCTGTATGCCTTGTTAGCTAGCTAGGTCTGCGGTTGGCAGCAGGAGGGCATCCGAAGTTCCCGATGCAGCCTCGTCAAGGACACCATGAAAGAAACAAGAAGAAGGTTCATCGGTCGCAGAACGTCGTGGTCTTCAGCCAGCACAGCCCGGTGAGAAGTGTATTGCGTCGGCATTAGTCAGTGAGAGGACTACATCTGCATATGCGTGAAGGGCCAATCGACCCGACCCGGCCTGACAAGTCACGGGCGCGGCATATTCTGCTGGTGTTTCTGCATCTCCGTCCGGCTCATTTCGTGGAGGGTCACGTCTGGCAAAATGGAGGAGGTTGGGGTCCGTGGCCGGGTAAGGTACGGTACGGGTTGGTATGCAGTGCTCTGGGTCCACGTACTCAGCAATACCGAACACCGATTCAGGGGCTACGAGATCGTGATGACCTGCAAGCCTAATCAGAGTTCATGGGGATGCAGGAGGAGCAGAAGGGCAACGAGAGAGGGGGGGGGCTCAACGCCTAAAGAGCCCGGACCGCCGTTGCAGCCCTCCACCCTTCCCGTGGAGCGCTGCGCCGGAGCAGCAGTCTCGGGTTGCTATAGCAGTGCGAATGTGGGACTGTCGTGGGCGGCCGGGTGATGGGATTCATGACCCCCTGGATCAGGTGTGCTGAGCATCAGCGATCTGGAAGGTCAGTCAGCCTGAGAATGGGAACCCAGGAAAGAAAAGAAGCTTGTCAGATAGAGTATGCCAAAGAGTCGGTCTGTACCTCAAGCCTAGGGGCAAAGATTTCCGGTTGCCGATGGGATGATGCAATCAAGCGAGGGGGGAGGCCATCAATGGGGCGAGGCAGCGGTTCGGGGATAGAGTGGCTTTT